ATCCCATCCCTACCTGGGTTAACTTTCAGCTTAATCGTTCCTTGCTAGCCCTTCTGTGTCTCCTCCAGAAACACAACATGGGGTGTTGCATCGGAGGGGCCTGCATGATTGATTTAAGGAAGGCCTGGCGACTTGATTCTGGGCTCAGACACAGAAGCCTTGGCTTCCTGTCCAGCTTGATCTGGAGACCCAGGGGGTGAACTTCAAGTGTAGAGAGATCTTCATTAAATGGAAAGATTAGCCTTGATCAAGTATCAGCTCATCCATTTGAAGCCTCATCTCTGGGAGTGTTCTCGAAAGAGAAATATACACAACATCTCTGCCTGTCTCACAGGCCCTCCCCTCAGATATATCAGGGGTCCCCTCCAGGCTCCCAGAGTCTTGTGACTTTCTCTCCCTTATAACACCTGCCATTTTTAATTAAATTGTCCATTTAGACATCTGTTTGGCCCCTTAGGTCGCCCAGGCCATGAGCTCCAGAGGGCAGGAATGGTGTCTGATTGGCCTCCTGACCCCTCTGTTGGATGCATTGCCATGCATGAAGTAAGCACTTACATTTTCTGAATAAATGCATGAGTGCCTTCCAGGACATATCTATGCTGTCATACAAGACACCATTCCAACTGCACAGTGACCTGGAAAGTTCCATTCCACAGGCTAACTTCTGGGCTGGTTGGATTTCAAGGGTGGGAAGAAAATAGTTCTTAACTCCTAATGAAGATGGCTACTGAAGTATACAGGAAAATCCTTCAATCTCAAGAGCAGAAGTCAGGTTTCTACTGACTCACTCATTGGAGGGTGAGTCTTATTAGTGGTGATAATTTAATACTAACACATATATGTTCACTGATTCTTGCGTTTCTTTTCATTGGAAATGATAATAGGCCATTTAAATGCTGATCCAGGCCAGGCAAGTGAAAGAGAATAGGGAGTGGTAGGGATTGTGGCTAAAACAAAGCACATTCCTGGTCTAAGGGGGACAGGCAATCATTGTCATGTGACTATGTGAGCCCAAGATCATCCAGTCTTCCAGTGTTTCAAAAGAAGCCAGAAATCTAGATTATTACTTGAAACATCCTCACCTGTCAAAGCTCAGTAACTATTCCCTTAATTACATTGCACTAGCTAAATAGTCTACAGGTGCATTATACTCACAGAGAAAAAAATGGAATTTCAGCCTCTCTTCACTGTGTTCTTCAAACCATGAGTTCAGTGGGGCAGGCATTATATGTGTATCATTCTGTGTCTTCAGTGCTACCTACATGCTGGCACATAATAGCTGCTCAATAAACAAGTATGGACTGAATAAGTGAATGCTTTCTATGAATTAGGTTATGCTGGGCACTGGGGTTCCTGATATGAGCAGAATGTGAGTGCCCAGGCTGGGAAAGAGGTGCAGAAGTGAGAACCAAACCGTGCTAGAAAAGATTCTGATACCGTAATAGAGGTATAGAGGTTTGTGCAAGTTATAGAAAAGAGTTCCAAGTCCAGAGGAATTCATGTCACTGGGGGCAGATCTGGGTCCTGAAGGAATTCCTGAGATTCATCCTGCAAAATAAGATGCTTCAAACCATATGTGATTTATTATTTTACAGTTTCTGTGGGTCAGGACTCTGAGAACCCCTTACTCAGGTCGTCTGGTGTGGGATCTCTCACAACACACACCCTGGTGAGGGGTCTCTTCTGAAGGTTTGACAGGGGAAGGATCAACATCCATACTCACTTGGTTGCTTTCAGGCTGCAGTTCCTTACCAGCTGTTGGCCAAAGCCACCCTCAGTTCTTTGTCCTTTCCATTGGGCAGTTTACAGAGTCAAAAAATAATTATTTCACTGAAGACAGTAAGAGAGAATCTGCTAGAAAGACAGAAGTCACAGTTCTATGTAACATGACAAAAAAGGACATCCATCCTCTTTGCCATATTCTGTTAGCTAGAAGCAAGTCACAGGGCCCACCTGCACTCAGAACGAGTGAGTTCCAGGAGGCAGGGGTTATTAAGAGTGTCTTAGAGTAGAAGTCCCCAACCCTTTTTGGCACCAGGAACGAGTTTCATGGAAGACCATTTTTCTATGAACTGGGTTTGGGGGGGGGGGGTTCAGAATGATTCAAAAACATTACCTCTCCACCTCAATTATCAGGTATTATATTCTCATAAGGAGCAGGCAACCTAGATCCCTCCATGCAGTTTACAGTAGGGTCAGTGCTCCTCTGAAAGGCTAATGTCACTGCTGATCTGACAGGAGGCAAAGCTCAGGTGGTGATGCAGGTGATGAGGAACGGCTGTAAACACGGATGACACTGCACTCACTCATTCGCCTGCCACTCACCTCCTGCTGTGCAGCCCTGGGGGTCAGGGATGGCAGCTTTAGAGTATGTCTACCACATTCCCTATAGATGAACAGAAAAAGGATGTTCCAGGCGGAGGGAACAGCATCGGCAAAAGCACCAAAGGGTAAAATAGTGTCGTCCATCTGGTAAAATGCAACTAGTTCAATGTGAGTTAAGGATTGGTCAGAGAGGCAGGCAGGAGATGAAACAAGGCCTTACGAGCCAAATCTAGAGAAAGTATGCCCCCTCAAGGTACATCAGAATCATCAGACAAGATATCAGCCACTCACCTGCTCCATGTCCTATACCAAGGATCTGTGGGTTGAGATGCTGAGAAACTGGGAAATTACACACTGATAAGTTTGCAAAACTCCCTCAGATGTTACAGGAATATGTCGTTGCAGTATGCCCAATATTCAGAAAGTTTTACTAAACCAGCTGTGGACAGAAGCTCATTTCATCTTGTGTCTCTGAACTACTGATGGCAGGTGCCAGATGTAATATTTGAAGACATGGGTTTTCTTTTTTCTTTGAGACCGAGTCTCACTCTATTGCCCTCAGTAGAATGCCATGGTGTCATGGCTCACAGCAACCTCAAACTCTTGTGCTCAAGTGATCCTCTTGCCTCAACCTCCCCAGTAGCTGGAACTATAGGCACTCACCACAACACCTGGCTACTTTTAGAGATGTGGTCTCACTCTTGCTCAGGCTGGTCTTGAACTCCTCTGCTCAAGCAATCTAACCACCTCATCCTCCCAGAGTTCTAGAATTTCAGGTGTGAACCATCGCACCCAGCCAGCCTGGGTCTTCTTAAACCAAACCAAGGTCCAAAAGAAAATAATCAATTGCTTTAGGATTCAATGTAGAGAAAGTGGAACCCCCGTGCACTGTTGGTAGGAATGCAAAATGGTGTGGCCATTGTGGAAAACAATCCAGCAATTCCTCAAAAAAGTAAAAATAAAATTACTATATAATCTAACAATTTCTCTCCTGGGTGTATACCCAAAAGAACTGAAAGAAGGGTCTCAACAAGATATTTGTACACCCATGTTCACAGCAGCCTTATTCACGGTAGCCAAAAGGTAAAGCAGCCCCAGTGTCCGTCAGTGGATGAATGCAAACACAATGTGTGGCATGAGCCTACAATGGAATATTATTCAGCCTTTACAAAGAAAGAAATGAAGACACATGTTATGACATGGATGAGGCTTACAAACATTATGCTAAGTGAAATAAGCCAGTCACAAAAGGACAAATACTATATGAGTCCCTTATATTAGGTTTCTGGAGTAGTAAATTTATAGCGACAGAAAGCAGAATGGTGGATGCCAGGGACTGGGGGGAGGGTCAAATGGGAAGTTGTTGAACACTTACAGTGTTTCAGATTTGCAAGATGAAAAGAGTTCTGGAGATTGATTGTACAACATTGTAAAGGCACATAACACTGTTGAACTGTACACCTAAAATAGTTCAGATGGGAAACTTTATATTATGTGGATTTTACTACAATTTGAAAAAAAATTTTTTTTGAGACAGAGTTTCACTTTGTCGCTCTCCAGTAGAGTGCTCTGGTGTCATAGTTCACGGCAACCTCAAACTCTTGGGCTCAAGCGATTCTCTTGCCTCAGCCTCCCGAGTAGCTGGGACTACAGGTACCTGCCACAATGCCTGGCCATTTTTAGAGACGAGGTCTAAGCTCAAACAATCTGCCGGTCTCAGCCTCCCAGAGTGCTAGGATTACAAGTGAGCCACCATGCCCGGCTAAAACTTTGTTTTTAATAATAAATTTTTTAGATATTTTAGGATTTGTAGTCTTGTGTGAAAAGAAGTGTTGGCTGGTTGCCCCTTCCAGCTAAGTGCTAAAAAAGAACTTCATGCAGAGACAGGAAGGGGTTAACAGGGCAAGTTCAACTCTCCAACAAGGCTTAGGCTACCAGGGACTTTGTGCCTGCAGTTGAGCAATATAGCCACCAGATGGCAGTGTGGGCTTAATACTTGGAGGCATTTGTTGCAATGTTACTCTATCCCAAAATCTGATCTTCAAGCTTACCTTAAAGTCTCATCTCCAGTGAGGGAAACAAATATTCAATAATTCAGCACCAGACAGTGTGGGAAGTGCTGGTGTGGAGGAAAAACTTAAAAGGCTGATAACAGTTGGTGGTAGGAGGCATCCAGATAGGCTTTTTGGACTGCCCTCACAGTTTAGGTGTAAGGTAAGATACAGCAAGAATATTTCATAATTAAACATCAGCACCATCCATCATTTGCTGATCATCTATAACATGCCAAGAACATCCTAAGCATTTTCTTTTTATGCAGTCAAATCCCTGTGAGATGGGTCCAACTATTGTTCACATTTTGCTGATGAGAAAACTGATGATCAGAGAGGTTATGCCACATGCTGGCAGTCACTCAGCTAATAAGTAGCAGAACCCACATTTTAACCCAGATTTCATAGCCCAGTTCATTCTACCATGACCACGTGTCTTCTGCACCCAAATGTGGGAGAGGGAAAGGTGAGTTTGAGGAACAGCAAGAACTCAATGCCTGGTGGGGTTGTAGAGAGAAGATACTGGAAAGGCTGGCCACGGTTGTATCAGACAGGCTATGTATGAGTAGGACCCCACAGCGATTGGCATCATCTCATCAGAGCTCCTTTTGACTTGCATTTCAGCGGAGGAGTCCCTAGCATGTGACAATCCGGGATTGCCTGAAAATGGATATCAAATCCTATACAAGCGACTCTACCTGCCAGGAGAGTCCCTCACCTTCATGTGCTATGAAGGCTTCGAGCTCATGGGTGAAGTAACCATTCGATGCATCCTCGGACAACCATCCCACTGGAATGGCCCACTGCCTGTCTGTAAAGGTAAAGAAGTCTTCTCTGCACACAGGGGCCGAGGGGCCGGCCATGTCAGGACCGGTTCACAGGGTTTCCAAACTTGCTTTAAAAAGCTGGGCTACTATACTTCATTAGATCTAAGATGCCACCGTGACCATGCACTACTGAGAAAGAAAAAATGTTCATACTTTTGAAAACATTAAAATGAAAATATAAGCAAAACAAATCTTCTTCCCCCCGTCAGAGTCTCGCGCTTTGGAATCATTTTTGACTCAGAGACTTCAGAGTCCTTTTTATCCCCCATTCAGTATGACCGTACTTCCTAAGGCAGAATTCCTCCGGAAAGTCCTGTTTTGTTTGTTTGTTTTAAGTAAAGTCCTCGGTAATAAGGGTTTGCAATTATGTGGAAGCAGGGCTGGGGACAGGGTAAGGTAAGATAGGGGCGGAAGCAAAAAATGTAGAGACGCTGAGTCCTGTGGTGTACGGTCGCTTCAAGAAACCATTGCCGCTTGCGATCTAGACGTCTGTTTTGTCTCGTCCAAGTGTTGCCCTGAGAGCCAGCCTGCTCTGACATCCGCTTAGAGATCGTGCTGAAATATGTCCCACCTTCTGCACCCCCTCCCCACAACCGCTTGATTCCTGTAGGGTCCAAGCCCTCCCCTAGTGCTTGCAAGACCTCTCAAACCGCTCACACTCATTCTGCGAACGCGCGCGGGGCCTTGCGCGCCACAGTGGCCCACACAGGGACTCGTGAGCGCCTCCTAGTGGCAGCGATTACAACACACTGTTGATGTAAGACACACACCCCCCACGCCCGCCCCGCCCAATCGGGAAGATAGAAAAATGGGGAAATAGCACCTGAGAATCCATGAAAAAAATACTTATCATTGAAATGAAGTTGCGACATCCCAAGTGAAATTTGTATCTGCTTATCTGGGCTTTGCAGCGTACAGTCAATAATAATATCCTAAATATGTTCAATGTTTTAAGCCAGTGGATCTTAACCCTCTGTGGCGTGAACACACCCTTGAGAATAGGCAAAAAGCTCGGAATTCACTTCCCGGGGGGGTGCAGAACATGAAGTTTCACATTTCTGCTTGGGGATCTCTAACTTCTGTGGCTCCCCAAATGCCTTATTCATGAACCCCAGCTTTAAGACTTAAAAATGCTTTTTCAGCTGGCTTTTCCATTCCTACATATGTGTCCAAAAGCAATGAAAACTGGTGCTCAGACAAACACGGGTACATTAACGTTTACAGCAGCGTTATTCATAACAGCCAACAGATGGAAACAGCTTAAATGTCCATCAGCTGCTGAACAAATAAGCAAAAATTTGGCACGTTCGTGCAACATAAAAAAAAACACAGTACTAATATACACTACAACTTGGATGAATCTCAAAAGCTTCGTGCTAAGGGAAAAAAGCCGGACACAAAAGGTCACATATCAATTTATGTGAAATATCATATCCAGAGTAGGTAAACCCACAGAGACAGAGAGCAAACTAGAGGTTGCCCAGAGCTTACAGGCAGGCGTGGGAAGTAACTGCTTAGTGAATACAGACGACTCGGCCGCCCTCTGTCATCCTTCCCTTACTCTCAGGAAGCCAGTACTAATCATGCTTCCAGCGTCCCTACTTCCTGGGTTTATGCAAACAGACATACTTGGAAAAATAGGCAAGGGCTGTTCATCTTTTACCAAAAAAAAAAAAGTCTGTACTTTGCTTTTTCTCTCATTGGCAGAGTCATTTAAAAAAGACAAAGTTTTTTAAAAACATGGCTCCACCCTTTTTTCCTTTTAACCACTGCCCACCAGTTCACACTGTGCATGTTTCTGAATGTATCCGTCTTTTTTTATCTGTTGGTGAGGCTCCCAATTCTCTTCTGGGGTTTTGTTTGTTTTGTTTTGCCAAAAAACATCCTTGCACATGAATCTTGGGTGCTGGCAGTTTTCATCCTGTAGAATGTAGTCCGTAAAGCAGGACTGACCGGGTGGCAAAGACCTGAGAATACCAGGCTGGCGTGGACGGTGTCAGACTGTTTTCCAGAATTAGAGTGATCCACACTCCCCCATCCTCTCCAACACTGGAGGTTATCAATTATTCTAAAGTTGCCAATCTGATAGGAAAATGCAAGTACCATCAGAAAATACACAAATAACCAAACAACAGGAAAAATTTGTTAAATACTTAGTTTTGCAGGCTGTCCCCCAAACCTCTATTTGCCATCCCTTGGCAAACCTCCATTACTGTCCCTTGAAGCCCCACCAGTGAATCAGATCACTGCCCTTTACCTCCATCCTTCAGCCCTTTACCCTTATGACATAATTCCCAGCAAGTAAGTGTCCTGGAGCCCCTGTACCTTGCTCCCATAGCCATTCCTACTCCAGAGGTCCTTCTCTCCCACCACCAACTCTGTAAGGAAATAATAAGTCACTTCCTCTTTTGAAAAAATGTGGGATCTGTGACTTTATGATCTCTGGACTGGAGAAGTATTCCCTGCCAATCTGAGAGCTCCCAACCAGGACTCAGGGGCCCTGGACTCCATCCTAGGTCTGCTGTGGACCATCTGTGTCCCCACGGGGGAGCCACTCTCCCTCTCTGATCTTAGTGTCCCTTTGTGTAAAATAATTGGGTGCCCCCAGATCTGTGCTTCTGAAGAAGAGTCAGTGGACCAGCCTGCTGTATCTGAATTACCTGGGGGGGGGGCTGGGGAGACCTACAGGAGTTCACCTCCAAATATGCTACCACCTTGGCAGGTCCCAGAAAGGGCTCAGAAATCTTCATGTTAACATGTTCTCCATGGGGTCATGGACTTGGGGCTCCAAGGGATGTAAGATCCAATGCCTCCTCATTCTAAAATACTGTGGACATTCATGAGCTCCCGGCTACTCAACCACAGTCAAATTCATGCCTGGGGTGGGGAGCATCTGCCTCAGCCTTGCCATGCTCTTGAAGCCAAAGCCCCAGAGATGCCTGTACTTAACTGTCAGCTTTTCAACTGGCTTTACTGTCATCCCATGATGATGACAATGACATAAATGAGAGAGTAACATGAACCAAGTCACTAACTAGGAAGTCTTGGGATTTCTGGAAGAGACGCTCCTTCTTGTTGCTATATTCTTATGCTCAGCGACTGTGATGACTTTGATGCCCAAACATAGGCTGCCAGCCCCCAGCATTTTGAATCTCCAGAGAAGTTTTACAAAAATTATAAATGAGTGAAAATAGTTTTATGTGAAATACAGAGATCCTAGTCAAATAAATGTGGAATAAAAATGAGATTAGAAAGATTTACATAAATATAGGAGGTGCCAAAAAAGTATATGCACAATTTAAGCAACCTTGTTGTAAGTAAAATTGATGATTCACAGGTAAAATCAATGTACACATGTAACACGTCCAGGTACACTTGACCAGTAACGGTACCTTCTACTCAACTTCGAAAAGTAACACACACAAAAAAATTACTTAAAATATGTATACATTTTTTGGCACCCTCTATATACACCTCAAAGTAGGAAAATAGTTTGACTTCCAGCTGGATTTAATAAATATCTAGAGCCTCATGGTTCATCAGGGCTTTGTCCCACATGAAAACCATGAAACAACCCTAACCACATGTGTGTAGTTAAAAGCAGAGGAGAGAGAATGTCGAGAAGTCCCGATTTAAATCCTGCCTCCATTACTCAGAGGCTGTGTGATGACAGAGAAGTTGCTTAACTTCTCTGAACCTCTGCTCTTCTGTAAATGGGATGATAACAGTAGCACCCTAATGAGGTCATTGTGAAGGTGAAGGGAGCAAGTGTATAGAGAACAGTATTGGACATGTGGTGAGTGTTCAGTAACTATCTGCTATCACCATTTTTGCTCATGTCTTATGTATCTTACTTTCTCTTGGCAACGTAGGAAGTGAATATGCCCTGACATTTCACAAACCATAGTAGTTCAAGATAAGTAAAAACACAGCAGTAACTTCAGCAAAATGTGGCATGGGCTTTTGCATCTAAATTCGGGATGGAGGGGGCTTCATTTCATGCAAACAGGGTAAGTTCACTTTACATTGACCAGTGCTTCCTGATTTCTCTTTCAGTTAATCAAGACAGTTTTGAACATGCTTTAGAAGGTGAGTTTCAGAATAATAAAAATCCAATAAATCAATCTAATCACAGAAAACAAGGACAGGCCCTTGAATATCTTCATCCAGGAGCTTAAACATAATAAATAGAGCATTTTGCCTGGACCGTGTCAAAGGTCGTTTCAAAACGAATAATATCGTAAGAAGAAAAAAATAATAACAGGACTTGCAAGTTAGGGTCCTAAATAAAATCTGAAAGGGATGTGGCACCAGTTCTACACATGACAATGACACCGAGGTGAGAAAAGCTGAGAGTCCACAGGACAGAGAACACGTGAGGGAGACATAACCACTGTTGTAAAACTCTGCGTGATGCTGCGGGGGGAACTGGGTCCAGGGACATCTCGCCTCCCGGGCTGAGCATCTCCTGGTTCCTGGTGGGAGAAGTTTGCCCCGGGAGCGTTCTGTGGTCCGTTTTCCCCTGGGTCTTTTTTCTTCTCCAAGATCCCAGGCCCTTCTCCCTTCTCCTCCTTGTTTCTGTTCTCCTTTTCCTGGGAACTCCCAGGTGAGCTTTATTAATGTGGACCAGATCTTTAAAACTCTCCAGGATTTTACTTTTGTTCTGTTTTCATTCTGTGGTTCTTTCCCAGAGCGTTCTATGTTCCTTGTCACCTCTGTTAAACTTGGTGTAAAACCATTCACCCACGCTGAGAGATGGGGAAAAAACACACACGTACCGTCTCATTTATTTAATGTTGCAACCCAGTGAGCAGTTTGTATAATTAGTTCTGGAGCCATCTTTAGCTTTCTGACAGTAACGAGTTCACTCAGAAATCAGGGGCTTCGTGGATTACATTTCATCAGTTGCTTTTGCTAGTAACAGACAATATTTTCATCCAAGCAGGTAGAGCCAGGGCCCTCATATAAGTAAAGGGAGGAACACGTATTAGTCACTCCGCTTGGAAAATAGAGTGCATTTCATGTTAATCTCCATTCAGAGCATCCTTTTTCTGTCTTCTGCCAACCAATGAACCATGAGAATGTCTCAGAGGGCTGCGGTTGCTCAGAGATTATGAGCACCATCGTAACGTTCTGTGCTCAGGCATTTATCCTGGGTGCTAGGATTGATTTTTTCAGCCCCATAAAGTGGCAGTTAATGGATTATAGATTGGTGTACAGCTGAGCTCTCTTAGATGTGACCATGGAGAATGGCAGAGGAAACCCAGAGGCCAAGGTTTCTAGAAGAGCTGTGGGATGCCGTCCTTCAAACTGTGCTGGGCAAAACACCCCCATCTCCCACAAACATCAGGAGGTAGCAGAAGCCTCCAAGGTCAGCCCAAGAATGTGCAGCAGTGGCCTCTGAGAGTCAAAACCAGGTCTGCACATTGGGTGTCACTGGGGGTGTGCAGACGTAACCGGTGTCCCAGCTGCTGCTCCGGCTGTGCACAGCCCGCTCCTGGAGAGTATGACTCAGTAGTTCTGGGAGGCGTCCACCAGTCTGGGTACAAGAGCTCCACCTCTCCAGGTGAGCAGCCAGGGGTGGGAAACCCTGCTTAGAGACCTGGCGTCTGGCCCCCAGCATCACCCAACTCATGGACGTAGGGGCAAACTGTCCCTGCCCCACCACTCCTGAGTCTCAGGTCCAGACCCCTTCCTATTTCCCCTCTCCACTCTGTGAAACGTCCAGTAAACGTGACTTCTCAGCTACTGCATTTGGGGGTTTCGCCAAGTGTTCCTTTGATTGGATTTTAACCTTATTTCAACTGTGGTTCCCCCAGAAATGGGCATGGCATGATTGGGGCTCAGCAGTGTTAATTCTCCTCTGCCCCTGTGGCCAGCCCACCCAAGGATGAGTCTGGGCCCCCATTGCAAAGAACCAGCACTCTTTCCTCCCCTAGACATGGGTCTTAAAGTCTAAGGTTTTATGACGCCAGTTCTTTGAGGGGTGTAGAACTGGGAAGGCGGGTGCTCACCTGGGAGCCAGGGCCTGTGTGAGAAATGAGGACTTCATTGGCTCCTGTGTTCAGTAGCAGAAGCGGCAGCAGAGACGTCGCTGGAAGGTGGAAACATGGCCCTGGCTATCTTCATCCCGGTCCTCATCATCTCCTTACTCCTGGGAGGAGCCTACATTTACATCACAAGGTAGGGGGCTGAGGGAGGGAGGGGGCTGCCAAGCACTCAGCACACTGGGGGACTGGGCAGTTCACCCTCTGAGACTGAGAATCTCCACCTGCAGCTCGGGGACAGCAGCATGGTGTGATTGTAGAGATGGGGAGATTCAACTCCACTGTATGGGATAAATATTTACACTGGGCACCTACCAGGCTCCATGAGTGCACAGCAGCAAGTAAGACAGACCTCAAGGAGCTGATGGTTCAGAAGGGACATAGACGTTCCCATTGCTGGGCACAATGACTCATCCGCTCATTCATTCATGCATTTATTCAACAAATACATACTGACAACCTTAATGTGCACCAGATATTGTCCCAGACATTGAGGATCATACAACTTGCTTTTGATAAAAAAGGAAATATTAAACCATAACTAGGATAGTCACTAATTCATTCAAACCCACAGTTATCTAACGCCTACTACGTGCCAGGAAGTTTTCTAGACTCTAGAAACATTGTTTGAGAACAAAATAGAAGAAAATCCTTGTCTGCCAAGGGCTCGGGTTCTAACGGGGGAGACAGACAACAGACAGGGTATATAGGACAAGCACATAGTGTATTAGGAGGTGATGGACGCGGCAAGAAAGAGAGGAAAGGGGGTTCTGGAACGAGTGGTGGTTACATCTTATATGAGGTAAATAGAGGAAGCCCCAGTGGGAAATGACATTTGAGCAAGGACTTGAAAGTGATGGGTAACCCACACAGCTATGTGGGAGAGGAAGGTTTCAGGCAGAGAAACAGCATGTGCAAAGGTCCCAAGGCAGGCATGTCCTGCTATAAGTCGCTCCTGACCTCCCAGGGCTCACAGGTGAGTAGAACAGGAGGATAGTAAGTACAAAAATAAATGATAACACACCAAGATAAAGCCAGTGGAGAAAAGAGACAGGCTGCAGTGAGTAACGGGGGAACCACCTCTAACTAGGTCATCTCTGCTTCCTCATCCCTTTTCACCTTTAGGTGGTCACAGAGGGCCACTCAAAGGTGACATGGCATATAGAAGGTGCTCAGTAAATGCTCAGTATTGCTGTTGTGACCCTTTAATAAGAGGGACTTGGATCACCTTACAGGTGAAAACAAATTAAGCTCCACTGCTTCGCCAGTAAGGGGAGGTGACAGGCTTTTGTCATCACGCCTGGGTTACAGGTGGAGAACAATTAGGATTTCTCTTTGCACCTGTCTAGGATTCTCGCCTGCCAGAAGCTGTTTGCACACATCCTCATTGTCACTGGAGAAGGTGCCTCTGCCTGGGAAGTGGTGCTGACTCTTCACATTCTGACACCGTAGTAACTCGCCTCTCGTCTTGCAGTCAGGGAGTAACGTCTCTCTCCCTTTGTCTCCCCCCAGATGTCGCTACTACTCCAGCCTCCGCCTGCCCCTGATGTACTCCCACCCCTACAGCCAGATCACTGTCGAAACCGAGTTTGATAACCCCATTTACGAGACAGGGGTGAGTTCCTTCCTCTTTGCTCCGAATGCACTCGCTGACAATGAAATCAAAGGTTTCATTTCCTTTTGCTCACAAAAAGCAAACCCAGTGGTCCCGTCCCGTCCTCACTAAGACTCCTACCAAGACAGCTGGTGGGAGAACCCAGCTATCCGAGAAACTAGTCAGAGCTAACGGTGGGCCTGTGAGGCTCCTCATCTCAGCAGAACACCCACAGAAAGAAGGGTCTGCACCCAGCAACCCACAGAGAGGGGCCACGATGGGTCAGTCAGTGCCCAGGGGTGCAGCACTCCCGCACAGCCTCCGGCTACGGTGCCACTCCTCACTACATTGGTCATGTGTGCCACATGCCTGCACCTTTGAGTGGCCTGCCCTGCGTCAGGTACTGGAGACAGTCATCAGTCAAATAGACATCGATCCTGCCAGCAATGAGTTTATAGTCTTACAAAGGAGAAAGGTAGCAATGAATCGACTGCTGATAAGAATAATACGCACCGTGTGCTGAGTGCTTTAAATGCAGCATCTCCTTGAATCCTTGCAGCTCTTTGCAGTAGGTTCCAACAGTTTTCTCTATTTCATTAACGGGGTCACTGAGGACCAGAATGAGGAAAGGTTGCCCATGGCCAGAATGCGCAGTGGCACCAGGATGCAACCCAACCTGATGCCCTCAATCATTATGTTATCCTGCCCCACCTTGAACCAAACAATCACATGTGCCCATAAATATTTGGGTTTTTATAAATCACGATTTTTTACGACTGTGAAAAAATGGACAGCTTTCTCTGAGGGCGTATTTGGGGGGACGCTGGGAGAATGTTGGGGAAGACATTGTTGAGAAAGTGATGGTAAAGCTGAGACGTGGGAGGTGCGCTGAGGAAGGGAGCGGGCAGAAGAGAGAGCACACGCAAAAGCCCACAGGCACACGTGAGAAACCCAACGGCCGAACGTGCCTTTCAAAACCACAGACCTTCAGATTCACTATGCGGGTCATGATGAAAATTTTGAGATACACAAAAATCAAGAAATGTAAAATCTACATGGACTGAAACAAATGGAGCCCTCCCAGCAACACCAACGAGGGGGCACGTTGAGACCTCACGTGTGAATCCGAAAGGATGTCACTGACTGTGTTTCCTGGAAGTGAAGTGATGGACCATAACACAGTCTGTCTCAAAACTGCCCTGTGACCTGCATATGATGACAGGCAAGCATCTCCCAGTATTTGGGGGGAATAACCTTGACTTCTTCCTTGTCCCTGATACCGTCCCCTCACCCCTACCTCCTCTGATTTCCCCTATTAGTTATCAATTATATGTATTAATATCTAGTAATATCATTAGTAACAATATTATTACAAATTGAGGGGCCTTGGCTCGGCACCCGTAGCACAGTGGTTATGGCGCCAGCCACATACACCAAGGCTGGTGGGTTCAAACCCAGCCCAGCCCAGCTAAAACAACAATGGCAACTGCAATAAAGAAAAAAAAAAGTAGCTGGGTGTTGTGGCGGG